TTGTGCATTCCTAGAAGTAGCATTAGAGATGTTTTGATTGAGGAGAGTCATGGTAGTCATATGCTTGAAAATTTTGGTAGGCATGGTACAATTGATGTTCTTAGCATTCACTTTTATTGGCCTCATATGCGTAAACATGTTGATAAGTGTCTTGCATGTAGAGTGGCGAAGAGTACTTTGAAGCCCTATGGTATATATACTCCTCTTTCCACTCCGGAAAGCCCTTGGTTAGATATTTCTATGAATTTTGTTCTTGGTTTACCTCGGAAACCACGTGCTAAAGACTCAATTTTTGTTGTGGTTGATAGATTTTCCAAAATGGCTCACTTTATACCTTGTGCGAAAACGACAGATGCTAGTCACATGACAAAGCTTTTCTTTCGAGAGGTTGTGAAATTGCATAGGGTTCCAGAAACTATTGTATCAGACATGGAGGTAAAGTTTGTGTCTTATTTTTGAAAAAGTCTTTGGCATGAAATTGGGACGCACTTACTTTTCTCTACCACGTGTCACCCCCAGACGGATGGCCAAACGGAGGCGGTCAATCATACCTTAGGTAATCTTCTACGTGCTATGGTACATGATAGTGGTCAAACATGGGATGAATTCCTACCATATGTTGAATTTGCTTATAATAGTCATATTAGTACTACTACTAAATTTTCCCCGTTTGAGGCTGTTTATGGTTTTGATCCTCTAACCCCTACCGATATCTTGCCACTACCTAGTAGCGAGCATTTGAATTTTAGTGGGGCAGGGATTGAGCTACATCAATCAAGGAATTATATGCCAAGGTACGGGAGAACATTGATAAGGCGGCCGCGACATATGCACGCTATGCCAATCGCGAAAGAAAATGCGTGATATTTCGACCCGGCGATTGGGTATGGGTACATTTGCATAGAGAACGCTTTCTGGAGTTGCAGTGTGGAAAAATTTCTCCTCATGGAGCTGGTCCATTTCGTGTGTTGGAGCGCATAAACAATAACGCATACCGCATTGCACTTCCGGAAGACTTGGGCGTGAAAGCGACTTTCAACGTTGCCGATTTGAGCCTATTTGATCACGCTGAAGATGCTACTAGCCTTGAGGACAAGGCAGCCGGAGATGCTACTAGCCTTGAAGACAAGGTAGCCGAAGGGGGAGAGGATGACATAGCTCCGGATCACCCGAACCCAAACTTGGACAGACCGATTGTAACCCGAACTCGGTCGAAACTACTTGTTTGCGTGGAGGTTGTGATCCTTTGATCTTAATCAAAATGTGTGGTTTAGATTAGCTTGCCACTTAAGATGTGTGGCTTAGATTAATTTGTCATTTACTATATATAGTCCAGTTTATTTTCTTGATGGACACACAACTTAGATGAGATATTTTTGAGAGGGTTTACCTAGCTTCGGAGAGATTCCGTTTGAGTGATTCCATCCGCCGGGAGGACAAATCGATTGTTTGAGCTTCGGATGCAATTGCATGAGAGACGGAAGATGCGTCGGCAGCCTCGGACAGTCCGTGGATTCTCGAAAGTGCTTGCTCGAGATGAGTGATTACTTTTGGAATTCGACTTATCCTATTTCTATTTCGATTTGTCACTTGTAAGTTCCCGAATATACCAGATACTTGTCTTTCGAATTTGATTCATGGAGATGATCCTAATCTATGTCATTATCTTTTGTGGGACGTACAAAAAATAAAAATGAGTCATCTGTGGTAAAACGGAGGGAGTATATTATTATTATTATTATTATTATTATTATGATCATCTTTATCTTACCTTATATATTATTCTTATTGCTATCATTATCTTATTATATTTATATATGAAGTATATTTTAATATATTATATTTCATATTTATCTTTATCAATATTTTTTTTTTTACCTAACGGTCAAAGGGTTGAAAGCTTCGCCATTAGACTACACCTTCATTCCCACCAAAATATTTATTTGGTATAATAATATTTTTTTTATATATTCCAAAATCTGAGCATTACATAATAGAACTTAGAATGACAATTTTTTTTTAATTGAATATAAGTAATATATACTAAAGTCGAGGTATTTCCATTTTATTCGTTGAAAAAGTAATAAGAATGAACAACGTTAAGCTTTTTACCATTTTGACATCGAGCTATTCTTCTTTCTATTAGTTTTATATCCTAATAGAATCAAAATTTCTAGAGTCTCTTCGCCGCGGGATAGAGCAGTTTGGTAGCTTGCAAGGCTCATAACCTTGAAGTCACGAGTTTAAATTATATGAAGCAACATCTCTATAATATTGAAATATTGAATATTTATTGAAAATTGGAATTAAAATTGTAAAGTCAACAGGATTAAAAGAAAAAAATATCTATTTGAGAGTGCTTTTTCCTATACCTATGAATTCCATTGGACCCAGAATGATACATTAGAAGAATCTGTTGGGTCTTCCGAGGCTAAAAACAAAAATTCCTGGTAGTGGTAGTTCCTCCTCTTTCTTTTTCTTTCAGGGTGGCAGCAGCAAATGGCGGCAGTCTTCTAAAAAAAAATTTTTAATTTATTTTTATAAAAAATATTAATAATTATTTCAGAAATTTTGAAGCCAAAAAAATTAGTGTCAGAAATTTCGAGACAATTACTAATATTCACAGGTGCCTTCAGCTTCGGATTCGGTTTCGAAAATTTTGAAGCTATTTTAAATAATAAATAATTTCGAAATTTATGAGACTTTTCAAAATGGAGACGAGTTTTACTCCTCGAGCACCAATTCGAGACAAATTCCGAGTCTCTTACAAAAAAATAGTCTCGGAATTAGTTTAATTCCGAAACTATTTTCTATAGCCATTTTTTTTTCTGTGGTAATGAAAACAATTATATATAATTACATTAATTATTTCATTTAATGATATAAATTAAGTTTATAGTTTTTAATTATAATTTTATGATTTACTCTCTTAGTCCACCGAATTTATTCACTTCTCTTTAGTTTGTCCGCTAAATTTATCACAATATAATTTTTGCCAAGTCAACAAATAAACATTTAGGGGTGTATTCAATCACAACTCTATAGAATTTTGTTGGATTTTTAAAATTTGAGTGTATTTAATCTAAATTTTTAAAAGTCTTTTAAAATTTGAAGGTATTTAATGAAGATTTTTAAAAGTCCTATATTGAGGTATTACTTTTAAAATCTTTTAAAATTTTGAGGTATTAAACAATCCACTTAATTAGATTTTAATGGACAATTATAAAAAATTTGTATGCGAGAAAATCTCTTGGGATAAGGAGAGATTTTGAGGATTCTTAAAATTATTATTATTATTGTTGTTGTTGATAATATATAAGTGATAAGAATATGATTATATTTATTAACGTTATTTTAAATATTTAATAAAAAGTAATATTTGAAAAATAAAATATATTAATAAATTATTATCAACTTTTTTTGAAAATATGTATTTTTATATTATAAATATAATATTTGAAAATTACTATTATGAGAATAAATATGTGTTACTGTTTTTTTTAATTATCGAATACACTGTATTGTCAGTAAAATTAACTAAATATATATATTTTTTTTGTTGAACCATTAGCTATATTTATTTACTTTTTACTTTTTAATTTTATTTCTTATGCAAAATTGTAAATTCAATTTTTTATTTTTAGTGTGATTGTTTTGTAAAATATTTTGAAGGAATATTTTTTAAAGTATAAAAAATTGTGCATATAATATAAAAATAATGAATGTGTGTGATATATTAATTTTTTAATCTATATATTAATTTTTTACAAAATTTATTACATAAGAATAATAATAATAACTAATAAAAAGTATAAAAATAATTGATATATTGAATGATAATATAATAAAAATTATAAAATTAAAAATATAATATACAAAATAGTAGCATTATATATGTTACAATATTTCTATATCATTAATAATTATATATTATTTATTAATATTTACTTATATTTTATAAAATATAATAATATATAATAAATATATTATATTTGTAAAATTTGAGTTTACATAAGTTTATAAAATTATATAAATCAATAAAAAATATATGTATTTTATAATTCTACAAAATCCATATAAATCCATAAAAAAAATCCAATGAAATCTCTAAGAATCCATCTAATTAATTAATAAAATTCATCAAACTCTGCATGGACTCTGTCGACTTTCTAAATCCACATAAATTTATAAAATTTTTAAAATCCAAAAAAATTCAAATAAAATTTCAAATAAATACACCCCCTTAATTAATACATTCAATACATATTTAGAACAAATACCATTGTTTTTTATTATATAATCTCTCTTAATTATTTTAATCTCTAACTAATTTTTCAAAAATAGTTTCAACTATTGTTTTACTTTTATAATTTTTTCAATAAAATATTTATTTTTCTTAATCTTAATGCCAAATCTAAATGGACTAATTTTAATGGAGTGGCGGAGTAATATATATTTAGTTGGGGTATGTTATATTTAAAACTTATGTTTGAATTAGAATTTTGAATAAAAGATATTTTTGCTATAAATGATATGTTTGTGCGTGTGTGTATATATATATAAAGTAGCATATCGAAATCCCAAAGAGATAGGTGTGGGGTTTGAGAGTAGGATTAGATTCTGTAGCATAGCACATGTCATTTCCTATAATAAGAAGAAACAATTAGCATTGGCTCAACGTGAAAAAAGGAGATACGGTGTATATATTGGAATATTAATAATCCAACTCCATACACAACAAATATATGACCATGCCATGCCTGTTCAACCTCTGAATTCTCGCCTTCTTCTTCCTTCATCGTCTTCGTCTTCGTCTTCTTCATCCTCCATAGGTTTCTCTCATTTCAATAATTAACTAATCAATTGATCATATGTAATGCAGATATAATTGGTATTAATATTACCATGCAATCGACAAGTATTCAAATAATCCAATATCCTTGGTGTGATCCTCCTCCAGCCACAGCCACCCTCCGCCTGCAAGAACACCTCGCGCGGTCATGATGCCCGACTATCAGCCCACCGACATGTCCGGCGATAAGCCCGACGGGCCCACGAGGTTCCGGGCAGAGGCGCAGAAGGATGGGAAAATGGACCGCCGGATGTCAATTCTGGGCAGCAATAACAACAAATCGATGCTGCTGCGGAGCCAAACGCAGGACTTCGATCACAACCGGTGGCTGTTCGAGAGCAAAGGGAAATACGGCATCGGGAACGCCTTCTGGCAAGAAGACAATGGCGCTGGGTTCGATCGGGACACGGGGATGAGCATGCAAGATTTTATGGACAAGCCATGGAAGCCACTCACCAGGAAAGTTACTGTTCCGCCAGCTATCCTCAGCCCATACAGGTGCTTTTAATTAATTGATCAATCAATTGATTGATTATTGATCCAAAAAAACAATATATACATATATATATATGTGTGTATGTAGAGTTCTGATCGTGCTCCGAATGGTGGCACTGACCTTGTTCCTGTCATGGCGGGTGCAAAACCCTAACTACGACGCCATGTGGCTGTGGGGGCTTTCCATCGTGTGCGAGATATGGTTTGCCTTCTCATGGCTACTCGACATTCTGCCTAAGTTAAACCCTATCAATCGGGCAGCCGACTTAGGGGCACTCAAGGATAAGTTCGAGACCCCCTCGCCTACCAACCCCGAGGGCCGATCAGATCTTCCCGGCGTCGATGTCTTCATCTCCACAGCTGATCCTGAGAAGGAGCCTCCTTTGGTCACGGCCAACACCATTTTGTCCATCCTCGGAGTCGAGTACCCTGTCGAGAAGTTGAGCATATACATCTCCGACGACGGTGGCGCCATCCTCACCTTCGAGGCCATGGCTGAGGCTGTCAAATTCGCCGAGGTAATGCCATGCATGGCTATTATATACTATGTTAGTAACTTTTTTCAATTGAATGAAAATATGTTGGTAGGAAGCGGATCCTCTCTCTTGACTAGATTAAATTAGAATAATTCTAATTTGATCCGATCAACACAGTATCCAATACGAGCTTATTCAGAAATAAATTTATTGGTGTCACAGTATATAAAGTTATAATAATAATAATAATAATAACAATAATAGTAATATGAAATTAGTTTTGTATATTTATATTTTAAAATATAAATTAATTATTTATTTGGATTAAAGATTAATTATTTTGATATTGATGAAATTTTAAATATTAAGGGCGTATTTGTTTTGTAAGATAATTTGACTGAATATTTTTTTAATGTAGATTACTTGGAGGAATTATGTAAAAAATATAAAAATAATAAACGTACTTGATATATGAAAACCAGAAAAAAATAGGAAGAACATATTTCTAAAATTTAAACGGTTCATCTAAAATTTTTGGATAAAGATAAATTTTAAATTTTAAGTGGTGGCACTCTAATTTTTTTTTAGTAATTGCCCAATTATTAAATTATATTAAATTATTAAAATTCTTTTTGGTGATATAATAATAACTGATGGCATGTGACATCGTGAGATACAATGTAGATCTGCCCCTATCCACGATCATGCATGCATGTATGTAGTGCATGTATGTGGGTATGATTTCCTTATTATCTATCTATCTCGCAGTATTGGGTGCCCTTTTGCCGGAAGCACGACATCGAGCCGAGGAATCCCGACAGTTATTTCAGCCAGAAAACAGATCCAACCAAGAACAAGAAACGCCCGGATTTCGTCAAGGATCGGAGGTGGATCAAGCGGGAGTACGATGAGTTCAAGGTGAGGATCAACGGCCTGCCGGAGGTTATCCGAAAACGGTGCCAAATGCACAACAACAAGGAAGAAGCACAAGAACGAAAGGCGGCCATGGAGAAGAACAACGGCGTCCTCCCTCCGGATCACGAAAGCCAAGTTGTCAAAGCGACGTGGATGGCCGACAGCACCCACTGGCCAGGAACATGGTTCGAGCCTTCCCCCGATCATGCCAAGGGCGACCACGCCGGAATATTGCAGATAATGAGCAAAGTTCCGAGTCATGACCCTGTGATGGGAGGCCCCAACGAAGGAGCAATCGACTTCACCGGCATTGACACTAGGCTACCGATGTTTGCCTATGTGTCGAGAGAGAAACGTAAGGCCTACGATCATAACAAGAAAGCCGGAGCCATGAATGCACTGGTGAGGGCATCTGCTATTCTCTCCAACGGTCCGTTTATCCTCAACTTGGACTGTGATCACTATGTTTATAACTCTATGGCCATCCGAGAAGGGATGTGCTACATGATGGATCGGGGAGGCGACCGCATTTGCTACATACAGTTCCCTCAAAGATTCGAGGGCATCGATCCATCCGACAGATATGCAAATCATAACACAGTCTTCTTTGATGGCAATATGAGAGCCCTGGATGGTCTTCAGGGACCTGTTTATGTCGGAACCGGTTGCATGTTCCGGCGATACGCTTTGTATGGATTTCCTCCTCCAAGGGCGCGCGAGTATTCGGGCTTGTTTGGACAGAATAAGACTAATGTTAGGACTCAGCAGCAGGGAAAGGCAAAGGATGAGCCTCTAGACCATAACCATCCCGACTTGGATATGCCCAAGAAATTTGGAAATTCAACCATGTTCGCTGATTCCATTGCCGTTGCAGAGTTTCAAGGGCGTCCGTTGGCTGATCATATTTCTGTCAAGAATGGTCGGCCTCCCGGCGCTCTGCTCATCCCTCGACAACCCCTGGATGCTCCTACAGCTGCCGAGGCCATTGCTGTCATTTCCTGTTGGTAAGACATTTAGAAGTAGATGTTTCTAAGTAGACATTTTTTTGATATTATTTTACTAACAACAGGTACGAGGAGAAGACAGAATGGGGGGACAGAGTAGGATGGATCTACGGGTCGGTGACGGAGGACGTGGTGACGGGCTACCGGATGCACAACCGCGGATGGCGGAGCGTGTACTGCATAACGAAGCGCGACGCATTCCGGGGATCGGCGCCGATCAACCTGACCGACCGGCTCCACCAGGTCCTCCGGTGGGCCACCGGATCTGTGGAGATCTTCTTCTCCCAGAACAACGCCTTTCTGGCGACGCGCCGCCTCAAGTTCCTCCAGCGCGTGGCCTACTTGAACGTGGGCATCTACCCCTTCACCTCCATCTTCCTGGTGGTCTACTGCTTCCTCCCGGCGCTCTCCCTCTTCTCCGGCCAGTTCATCGTCCAGTCCCTCGACATTGCCTTCCTCAGCTACCTTCTCATCATCACCACCCTCCTCATCTTCATCTCCCTCCTGGAAGTTAAATGGTCGGGAATCGGGCTGGAGGAGTGGTGGCGGAACGAGCAGTTCTGGGTGATCGGCGGCACCAGCGCCCACCTGGTCGCCGTTATCCAAGGCCTCCTGAAAATCTTCGCCGGGATCGAGATATCCTTCACGCTGACGTCCAAATCTGCGGCGGAGGAAGACGAGGACCAGTTCGCGGAGCTTTACGAGGTGAAGTGGACGGGGCTGTTCCTGGTTCCGCTGCTGATCATCATCACGAACCTGATCGCGCTGGTGATCGCCTCCGCCCGAACCATCTACAGCGTGATCCCGCAGTGGAACAAGCTCCTCGGCGGCGCCTTCTTCAGCTTCTGGGTGCTGTCGCATATGTATCCGTTCGCCAAGGGCCTCATGGGCCGCCGAGGGAGACTGCCCACCATTATATATGTCTGGGCGGGGCTGCTCTCCATTACAGTATCCCTCTTGTGGATTATCATCAGCCCTCCGCAGGGAGTTGTTTCTGATCCTGAATCCACCCAGTTCTCCATTTGATGAGATGTATTAGTCATATTCTCTCTGTGTGTAAAGTAATGTATATATATCATATATTTGTTATGTTGTGTATTGCTTTTGTGTAAGAATTAAGACTGTGAGATGCAGTCAGTCTGTGGTTGTATATTTTGAGGATAGTGGAATATATTTACGACTGTACTCAACAAGCTAGTGTTACTACTAGTGTCATGTTTGTCATGCATTCTTTTTGCCTATCTTTTTTTGTAAAATTATTTATAATCTATTTGATATTTGAAAAGCTTGTAACATTATTTTTGTGATATAAAAATTGCATGAATTTTTTATATTTTAAAAAATATTGTATATAAAATCCAGAAAAATTGCATTAAAGTTTTTTGTATTTTCAAAAATATTGTAGAAAAACTTTTAAAGGAAATTTTGTATAATATTTTTTAAAATATAAAAAAGTTTCACACAATTTCTAGGGTTTTTTGAATAATTGTCCTTGTCAATAATAATTTTGAAAAATAGACCTTAAAATAATTATGAAAACTACTTAATTTTGATAGATTGAGAAGTTCTGAATCGAGGAGTTCTCAGAACTCCTTCATTGTAAAATTAAGGAGTTCCAAGAACTCGTTATTTATTTTAATAAGAATTTAAATAAAAAAATTCTACCCTAAATTCCTCATTTTCGCTTTTTTTTTTACCAACTAAGCGATCTCGCAATTCTTTCTTTTTCACTCACAACTCCGTTGCTACCTCACCCCCGCCGTCGACCACCGTGCTCAGCCATCGATAGCCGCGCATCCAAGCCTAGTCCGAACACGGTCGTTGCTCCAAAAATTTCTGCAACTCCACCGCCATAGACGTAAGGCGTCGATCCCCTTCTTCCTCTCCATTTCTTCTTCCTTTCATTCCTGAAGTTTTTGAGGTTATTTCTTTGATTTTGATTAATTTTGTGTTAGGGTTACAGTTTCTGCACTGTTGGTGTCATTTGGTTTTTAAATATGGTGATGGGTGGGCATGCAGGGTTAAAAAGATACATATCTTTGTTTGTATTTTATATGCATTTTAATCGATTAATTCATTATGTATTTTGCTATATTATTTCAACTTTTACGGAAGATTTAAAATTCTAACATTGTAGAATTAGTTTTGTAATATTATTCGAGTGCGCCTTGTTGGTAATATTCAATAATTGCTTTTAGTAGTTTTGCAGTTTCAAAGATAGTTGTGACAAAATTATTTATTGTCAAGTCTAATGTAAAAAATGAGCTTCTTTTGAACTCAAATAACCATGAATTAGTGAGTTTCAAATCTTAGAGCCCTTAGCTTAATAATTTTTGGGTTTAGGTTCTTCAGGGATGGTTTCAATATTCTTCATTTTATGACTTTTCATTCTTCTCTAAGTTGTCTCCTTTTCTTAGAATGTTGCTAATATTTTTCCTGTCATGCATGCACTCATCCCTTTTATAAATTGGTGGCTGGAAGATAATGCTAGCAGATTAATTTTTTCTATTTAATATTTGAAATTTTTTGTGTAATATCATCGTGCTAAAATATGTGGTTGGTATTGAGAACTACCATATATTGTATCTAGTTGAACTTGTTTGGGAATCTACAGTTAGATTCTCCTGCATCAAAGGCTCTCGACTTGCTATATAAATATTATGCTCTTTATAAGGATAATAAATTTATATATTGTTATTATTTCATTTCATTTTTATTATTTTCAGATTATGTTTCATATGGAAATGGATTGTCCGACCCTACTAACGACCAATTGGTTCATCTTCAATCGACACATCGTTCTGAACGTATTTGGAATGGTGAGTTTATTGATCATAAGTTTAGCCTTATTTGTCCCTAAACATATTGGACTAGTATATCTTCATTATTTCATCCTAGGGTTTTTGAAATATTGCATTGAATTGAATATTATGGGGTATATAAAGTTGGACATGTTAAGCATGATACTAGTCTTCTTACAATATTAGTTGAGCGTTGGCGTCCTGAAACAGACACTTTTCACTTTACATTTGGTTTACATTAGAGGATGTTGCTATGATATATCAATTACCCATTGATGGTAAACTCGTTATTACTGCTGCCACGTCTTGGAAAACTAGAGAATAAGCTTTTGCCCTATGTATAGAGTTGTTACACTTGCCTTTTACACTGGAATACTTGAAACATGCACCTTGGATTTTGCATTCTACTTTATATAATCATTCGAAAAATTTTCAAATTGATAATGATAGTCCTAAAGAAGTAGTAGAGTGTTGGATTCGTTGGTTTATGCGACTTATGATTATGGGTAGCATACTTCCCTCTTCAGATGGTACTAAGGTTAAACTAAGTTACTTATCATATATACGGACACTTGACCTCTCTGAGTAGTTAATAAAACACTTATCTTGCATTCTTATATCATAATCTTTGTTCGGTTGTTATTGGACAAGATACAAGGAAGCTTTGTCGCCCACTCACATTATTACATGTATAATATGTTAAAATGAAAATATGTTATGACTATATGTTTAAATATATTTTTATAACATGTTAAGTATTTTATTCACGATATACTTTTTATTTCAGGTTTGGGCATGGTCTAGAGTATACATATACACTACAAAAAAAATCACAAATTGAGATGGAATTATTCCGTCACAACTGCATATTTTTCCATTGAAAATTCATTTTGTGATGGATTTTAAATCCAAATGAAAATTGTCGCAAATAAATGGTTGTAATTCCCAAAGGACCAAGCCGGGTTCCGTTGCAGAAAATTGAAATGGAACCAGCAATGCAAATTCCGTCGCAACATTGAAATTGAAGCAACAATGAAAATTCCATTGCAACATTGCAATGAAATCAATCTATTGCAAATTTCATTGCAACATTGAAATAGAAGTAGCAATGGAAATTCCGTCGCAACATTGCAATAAAATTAATCTATTGCAAATTTTGTCGCAACATTGAAATGGAAACAACAAAATGGAAATTCCATCACAAAGTTACAAAATAATATATTTGTTGCTAATTTTGTCACAACATTTAGAGTACATTCCAAGAGAATAATTTTGTTTCTAATTTCGTTGCAAAATTCATATTCAATTATTTTGATTTTTTTTGTCCGTTTTTCCAACAATCTATATAGCTAATATTAATTGAAATATAAGTGAGTCTAATGAACCACATATATTATAATATGAACAAAATATATTTAGTATTAGCACTTTCATTACCAAATATCAAACAAATGTAAAAGTTAACAAATATCATATAAAAATACGTAAAGTCGTAACTAACAAATTGGTAAAGCTAAAACATCACGATAGCGGAGCACTACCACCATCTGAATCCGGATAGCGATTTGTGAATGGGTGGTGCTCCCATAAGTCGTAGTTGCTCCATGATGGTCAAATTTAGATCGTATATGGCTCGTTGTTGGTTCTCTACATTTGTAACGCATTGTTGCATAAGTTTCCATTAAGGAAATCCCTTCTTAAGCTCTTTCCTCACCTAACCTAGCTCGCACTCCATCTTCGTCAATCGTGTCTCAAGGATGGATGTGCCCGGAGTACAACCATCACAGATCGAGGATGGCGGTCAATTAGAGACAATCTCAGCTAATGATCATAGTCCATAAATGTGATTCCTTTTATCTAATGGTACTACAGTAAGAAACATATCATTATATGGCGTATTGCCTTGTTGAGTGAGTTGTTCTACAACAACATTTACCTCATCCTAGAAGTATTTCATTTAATACCATATTAGTTTTTCAAACAAAATAACCAAGCAAACACACCTAAAATAGATACACATTTTTTTAAAAAAGAAATAACCAGACACTCAAGTAATAAAAAACAACTAATTATAATTTATTTACTCGGTATTATGTTTCATTTAGACCTAACCATCCAACTTAACCCACCATCAAACTAGGGATAAATATATCTCAACATTCATAATAATAGTACCAAACAAAAACCTAAGTCATCACCAACCAAATACACTTAAAATAGATGCATATTCATTTACAAAAATGACCAGCTACTAAACTAATAAAATCCAGCTAATAAAAATAGTTTATTTACTCGATATCATATTTCACTTAGGTCTAACCATCCAACTTAACCCACTAATCAACCTAAAGACAAACATATCCCAACATTCATAATAACAACTTCCAACAAAAACCTAAGTCATCACTAACGAAACACAGCTAAAATAGATGCATATGCATTTAAAAAAATGACCAGCTACTCAAATAATAAAATTCAGCTAATAACAATAATTTATTTACTCGGTATCATATTTCACTTAAGCCTAAGCATCCAACTTAACTCACTAATCAACTTAAGGATAAACATATCCCAACATTCATAATAATAACACCCAACAACTTATAACTATTTAGCTTGCTTAGAAAGCATCCAATTTCATCTGCAAATAAATTTGTATAAATTTGCTTTGAAGATGGAAAACTAAATAAATCTTGTGCAAGTTTGAGAACCTAAAGCCTAAAGCTAATCACTACTTTTCATATCATGAAAGGAAACTAAATTGATTAACACCAAAGATATATAATTCATATTATTTTTTACTGTTATAAGAGAGAAACCAATCCCTGGGTGATTAATGAAACTAAGCACAAATAATAAAAGTGAATAGTACATGGTATATGTATCAATATATTTGTTCATAAGAACATAGAATATGCTAATAAAACACTTGACTACTGCGTAGTGAAGAGAGCAATTAGAAATTCCATGATACATGCCAAATTTATAACTAGTGCAAGAAGAAACTCTGCAATAAGTCAAAAAAATATGTATAAATAAAACGAACAGAACTTACAGGGTATCTACTTCCGTTGACCGACTGCAAAAAGAAAAAATAACAACGTCAAAGTCATTAGTAAGTTCCAGGTAGAACCAACTCGAGAGTTAAAACCTCTTAAATTAATTACCGATACTATCAAAAGTTTTATAGGAGAATCCGGAAAACCTTTCAAACTAGCAGTGAAA